ACCACATATGAGTGACGTTACATGGACGTCACTGTTTGCTGGGGAGGCTTTAACACGTACTTAAATGGGGGAAAAAAAGGTTGCCAAACTTATGGAGGGGAGTGTATATACTGGGTGTTTAATAATGACCGTCCCCCCCATCTACCACCAATCCTGAATATCATACCCCCATGTGTTATATATCATATGAAAGCTTGGTCAATTCTGGACTTATTGAATCAACTTTGATTAAGCTTAACACTTTTTACAACTTGCTACATATCTCTATAAAAGGTACCCATTTTACCTTTAGCATAGAATCTGAAAGCCACATTTTTTCCAAAATTAGCCATGTACCCTGCAAACAGCTATGATAGCCATGCCTCAATACACTATTGGGTATAGTAATGTACAACTTCTAACATTTGATTGATGTTGAAGATATATCTTGATGATATTTGAAAGATAAAAGTATTTAATAGTTCAAAGAAATCCCAGAGAGCTCTAAATGATACAATGGATAATATAGCGATCTGCTTTTCTCTTTAAATCCATCAGGAATAGTAGCTACAAATTATGCAAATTGAGGGGATAGTGGCTACAAAATATAAGTTCACAAATTATGTTCTCAAAGACCAGGCATTCTAATATTTGGCACATAATTGAATACATGGTATATAGATTTTGGGGGCATGTGAAGTAGGATTGCCTGTGGATAGGGGGACGGTCATTATGAAACACCCTGTACATGTTATAAAACTAAGACAAGTGTTGACATTAAAACGTGTTTATTCAGCCACCAGATGGCGCTCTAGTTTGCACATATTAAACTAGTTAACAGACACTGATACATAAACTCTTTGAACTAGTTACATAACATTACATCTCCCTTTTAAACTTTAAACTCAAGTTTACTCAAGAGTCTCTATTAACAAAATATGAATGCATGTTATAACATAGACAGTTCAAATAAATATAGTGCTTTAAATTTCAACATGTAACTGTAGTATCACTAGATTTTCATTGTCTATACTTTAAACATGTTTCTATACTGTCATACTCAGTTTCAATAGCACTATACATGAAATAGACAGTTTGTCATCCGCCTGTGAATTATCTATTAACTTTCACAGATCAAGTCTATCTGGGGCTTTTCTGATTCTTGTAGAACGTCTCAATATCGGCGTTGCAGATCCTGGAACAATGTCACTACTTATAGGATTGTTCACTGATTTTGTTTCACTACTAGAATCTGTGGTTCTAGGTATAATGTCACTACTGGTAAATCCTGTCTCTGTTACTGGACAGTCTGGAGTTGGCACTGGTATTATGTGCTTACGATTCCTTATATAAACACGATCAGTTTCACTTGATTTCAAAATATATGACCTATTACTGTGTTGTTCAACTAGTGTACCAGGTACCCACTTTTCATTAAGTCTAAATCTAACAGATTTTCCATCAGACAAGGGTTTCAGATCATGAGCTGACTTATCATAATAGAACTTTTGCTTTTCTTGCCTTTTCTCAAGTTTAGCATGAACTGTTGAAGAAGGCTGGACCTGTGGCTGAAGAAGACTTTTGTGAGTTACTTGAACGTGTTTCACTAAACTGACGCGATTTACACAAAGAACGCGTTTCACTAGACTGACGCGATTTACACGATGGACGCGTTTCACAAGAAAGTGTTTCACCAGAGGGACACTTAACTGAATCTGCTGTAATGAGGGTATCAACACGCTTTACCATATTCATCTCAACACATGCATTGGCACTCAACAATGTAGGGGCTGGGCGATCAACAACTTGAAACGTCTGTATAAAATTTCTACACTTGTAACTACAGTCAAGCCTGATTTGACCCATTGTCTTAAGTTTACCTCCCCCATATGCCTTAACTTTAATTCTAGGACCCGTTATCTCTGGATTCTCTAAAATCTTTGACAGAGTTGAATATGAAATCATGTTTACATCTGCACCGGTATCAAGTTTACACAACACAGTATTGTTATTAATTTCGACATTTGCCAAAAAACTTGAACCTTCAGAGTGATGAATCGTGTTTACAGAACTCACGTTCGCACTTACCAATCCAACAAATAAATGTTCATCATCAACGCTGCTGGATGATGTATCCGATTCGTACTCGACCTCATGCGCACTTGCAGATTTGGAACGACGACGGCTGCGACGGCTGAACTTGTCTTTCATGTGGGAACTGGGCTGACCACTGGAACTGGACTCTGAACTTGGTTTACGACCACCAGAACTGGATTCGGAACGGCAACAACGACCATAATGTCCTTTACGTGAACATCTGTAACACGTCACGTTACGGGCAGGACAGGTTTTCAGTCTATGTTTAGTATGTCCACAATTACGACATGGGACTGACGAACTGCTACTATTACTAACAGTATCCACACTAGAAGGATTTGACTGCTCTTTGAATGATTGTAACGTACGATTGGACTGTTCATGTGCACGACACTCATCAATGCAAGTTTCCAATGTCAACTTATCATTACGCAAAAGCCTGTCTCTAAGATTATCGTTAGTAATACCACACACAATTCTGTCTCTAATAAGACTGTCATTAAGTGTTTCGAATTCACACTCCTTAGCTTTGAACTTTAAATCTGTAACATACGAATCTACAGTTTCATTTGACTCCTGAGGCCTTATTCACAATGTGTCGCATCCTATGCGATTGCGACATCGCAATCGCCATCGCAAAAATCGCTAAAATTCTTATTCACAATCAAAGTGCGATTGCGACTTAGCAATTCAATCGCATTACTAGCGTCATATAATTGCGACTACCCTCAACCAGCCGCAATACAGTCGCAATATTAAGGGTTGCTTTATGTTTTAATTAAACGCGTTTAGCGTTCTCCGAATTATCTGCTATTTTAATACAACGTTTTTCGGTATACTAACCAACATACGATTTTAAAAAAATCGTCATTTCATGTGTTCTGACGAGATAATAAGGGTCTAAAGTCGTCTTAAATAATGGAAGAATATTTTCTATATTTCATCTAAAATTGCTATCAATGAATCGCAATGTTATAATTCCCGCCATTATCAGTCGTCTGAGACACCGTAAAACAAAATGGCGATGATAGCGGTGAACCGCAGACAGCATCTCCCTCGTAAGACCAAGATTATTTCGCGACAGAACACATCCATTGGATATTTACGATGATCATGAGATGATCGAGAGGTATCGTCGTTTCATGAGGGAATGGACATGAACTTTAATTCCATTAATAGATAAAGAGATTGTTGTATGTTTTTTTTTTCTTAGATTCAGCCCCACCCTGAATGAAATTTATATTTGCCCCGGGGATCGTGGTCCAATCGGTTACTCACAACAGACCATTATGTTCCCCAATATTTTAACTTGTATTCCATGATTCCCAAATAATTGTAACGGACGTGTTAATTATAATTAAAACAAATATTTTTATTCCAAGCTTTACAGTTCTCTAATTAATGCAATAAGTACATTTATCTTAATGGATCAAATGCTTTACCAATTGTATGTCTCTTCATAAATATTTCCTAATTGAACATCAATCATATCAAATTTTAAATTCTTAACTTTCAATTATAGATTCTCAACTTCATAAACTTCTCAAACTTCTCAAACTCCTCAAACTCGCTTGGCCTGTGATAATTATATAAAATAATCTCGATGTGAGGTTTGTAAAGTGTGTTTTTACATTTTACAAACATATATGTTTCATGTCAAATGCAGATCCTTGTTGAATGATTTAATTCCTATAATATATCCGCGCTTGTTAAATAAAAGAACTTCTCATACAAATAATGAATAATAAATATTAATTGAAAATACTTCGTCCCTCATTTGCCTTATTCCAAAGCCGCGCAAATTACCCGTATCAAATTTGTTTCCCCTTTCTCCCTCTTTCCATGTTTCCAATCCATTCACAGATCCCTTCAAGATTCCCCATTTCAACTCCGTTCCCAGTTCCGAGTTTGTTTCGAGTTCCCCGTTGGTTCCGCGCTTTCGATCCGATCCCAGTTCTCCCCGAATCAAGTCTAAACTGCCATTTATATACCCGTAAGCGATGCTATTCTTAGCTAGGGGCAGCGTGACGTAATTTACGTATGAAAGTAGAATTGATACAAGAATGAATCATAATCGGAAATGATTCCATTTATGGTATTGACGGGAAATTATGCCTTCTAAGGAAGGTGAGTAATAGTTCTTCTATATGTGAGATCGGCGGTAATTTTTGAATCAAAGAAATTGTACAATGTTTGAATTTTGAGTTACAACATTTACAAAGCTGCTAATTAGATCTAACACATTGCATTCAAATTGCGATGCTTTGTGAATAAGGCCTCAGGTCTCTTGTGAAGAACTTGTGTCTACTCAGTATTATGTTCTTTCTTGGTTCACAGTATTCTTGGAACTTTTTCTCCAATGGTTCAATCTTGTTTCTATCATGCTCACTGATAGTAAAAGTTTCAAATATTTTGATTGCATCATCACCACACAAATGGAGAAAAGCGGCACACTGAATTTCTTCACTTTTTTCAGATAGTCCACTGGCGAGAGAATACAGCTTGAACCTTGTCAACCAGTTCTTGTAGTTCTCTGAAACATTACCTTCAAATAGCATCTCTCCTGGAGGCTTTAAATGTTCCATGTTGGTCTTAATTCCACTCTAGACACCATATAAAACTAAGACAAGTGTTGACATTAAAACGTGTTTATTCAGCCACCAGATGGCGCTCTAGTTTGCACATATTAAACTAGTTAACAGACACTGATACATAAACTCTTTGAACTAGTTACATAACATTACACATGTAACTACAGGCAAAAATCATTTTAACCGGAGCCACAAGCTGTCTCCATCATTGATAATTGAACCCTGACTAGTTCCTTTATCAGAGGTCCTATAGAGATTACATGCCATGAGTTATTATTCACATCGTTCATTTATAATACCTATCTTTCTTTTGTATTTAATATGTTTTTTCAGCTATATGGCTCTTTGCGATGGTCGTACTGGCGTTTGTGATAGCCGAAAGTGAAAGCTTTAACTCGGACGAAAAAGACCAGATCGAAAAAGGCTTGGCAGCGGGAAAAGAAATAATTGATTACATAAAGCAGAAAGATTTTGCTCAGACTATAAGAAAATTAACTGAATCAGCAAGTCAATTTTTGGGTGCATTGGGACCATTTTCTAGTTTTATTTTGGCTTTTGTTTCGACTGATTCTAGTGAGTTAACATACATGAAAGGAATGATGACAGAAATTGATGCGCAATTTAATAAGGTCGAGGCTCGCCTTGGAGATATTCAAACATTGATTGAGTGGACAAATGTTGAACAAAACCTTGGAGTTATCGAACTCACTGTAGCCACGTTAGACATGGAATTCAAGCTATTTTATAATACTAGTGGAACAGCTTCAGAAAAACAGCAAACTTTTATTAACGTTTACGATAATAACTATGCAACGAGTGGGTCAAAATTGTATCTAATGACTGTTGGGGAAGGAGGCACGTTTATCGAAAATCTTTGTGAATCAATTATGAAAAAAACAAAATACGACCGCAAAGAAACAAACGATTACCTTCTTGGGGTTTTAAAGATCCTTTTGCAAGCTATTCGGCTTGAACTTGCTTATTATGGTATGCAAGGATTGAACACAACTTATGAGACAAGAAAAAACGAATGGGACAGAAGAATTACACAAGTAACCGAAATGTTCGAGAAAACTGACGAAGATGTTATAAATGCGTACCACACACAGTCAAAAGAGGACGCTAAAAGATTTGCAATTGATAACCGGGCCTTGAGCAACAGAGACTTTGCCGTCAGGTTGTGTGATATGCTAAAGGAAAAGTATTACTGGCGCGAATGGTTTTGTTTGATCTATGATGATTCAATAGAGTCGTCCTCGAGCAAACATCGTCTCCATGTTTGTGGAGGTCATATACTTTTGCAGGAGAGTGGGCGCAACATCGCTGTGGCGAGTAAAGAAACCACTGCTACAAGAATGAGCAAAGCCAGTGCCGAGGCAGAATTGAACAAGTTCACATTTAGTTATTGGTGGGACGTTTTGTATGATGGAACAGAGATAGACAATGGCAAAACGAAAGCGTATACAGTTTTTAACAAAATACGATATAATATAGCAAACGTATGCTCAGTCGCTGTTATTAAACAGAATGCTGACGTGTACTGGCACAAATCTGATACATCCAGACTTGCAACTCGCAGTTTGCACCATTATTGGTGGGTTTTTGCATTTGGCTAAGCAGTTGAAAGAGTTCTGTATTTTATAAAAAAGCTTATAACCACCATCGCTATTCGCTGCGTTTTACGGATATGACCATCGCTATGTTTTACGGATATGAACATCGCTATAAGATAGGACCATTGCTATGTTTTACGGATATGACCATCGCTATGTTTTACGGATATGATCATTGCTATGTTTTACGGATATGACCATTGCTAAGTTTTACGGATATGAACATCACTATGTTTTACGGATATGACCATCGCTATGTTTTACGGATATGATCATTGCTATGTTTTACGGATATGACCATTACTATGTTTTACGAACATTGCTATGTTTTGCGGAAATGATCAAAGCTGTTTTACGGATATTATCGTCGGTATAATACGGATATGACCATCGCTATGTTTTACGGATATGACTCTGGCTGTACATATTTGTTTTATCACTTAGTTCTTGATGTTAAACTCTATGGTGTGGTGTTTATTTCATTTCTTGCATACCTTGTGATAATTGTAGTTCGGAAAAGCACTATAGCGGCAAGAGGTTTAAGGCAGATCGTGATAAACTATTCGAATAATATTTCATCAACAATATAAAAGGCCTTTTCAACAAACAATACATTATGATAAATCGTTGCATAACAATTCACTCGCTTGAGTACGCATATAGTATACATAAAGTGACCACTAGAAGCAATTAATGACCTTATTTTTTTAGTAACAGAAAGTTTTTGTGAATAACGTTCTCAATTTTACAATTTCTTGTAAAAGTTCAGAATTCAGAATTAATGTTAAGAAAATATAGAGACGTGACCTGTTCTGTCCCATCTACATTATTTAACATTTTTACATATGTTTTCAGGACGGAATTTCAATATTTTTAGCTACACAGGTTTTCATTATTTGGTATACGGGTTTTTATTAGGCTATATATTATTGTCTTATTTTAAATCTCAAGTAAATTATAACAGAAAAATCTGCAAAAATGTTCCATTTTCTTCCAAAGGGACACACGTTTAATTTCAAACGATAATGATAGAATTGTTGAACGCTTTTCCAAGTCAAAAATTCAAGTCAAATTTCAAGTGATATCAATGATTTTTATTTTATCTCAATATTTCTAAGTCCTTTTTAGATTCTTCATCATGATCTACTCGAATGAGCTCTTTATTTGTATATCATCTGTGCAACTTCAAATGAGGATTTCACTGCTTGCAGTCGACCTAAGTCTGACCTAAGTCTGATACAATTCGAGGAATATACCAACATAACTAAAGTGAAACTCTCAACTGCATGGCAAATCAGGAGCGTTACAATCGAGTAGATCATTAATTTCATGTATTTTTATCATTTTGGTTGCATGAATAAATGAATAAATAAATTGGAGATAAATAATACGTCTGTTTTGTCATATACTGTCAATAAATACATCAGGCAGGGAAAGTTCAAAATAAAGAACAATAACTGAATTGTTCATTGGATACCACATCAAAGCAGCCTGTCAATGTTTGAATTTTAATTCAATTCGATTTATTCGATGAATTAAGAAATATAGACGGAAAAGCAGGGGTAATATCGTCGAATACACCCCGCAGGGCTAGGCACAAACGTTTTTTGTACCCCGAACGACCGAAGGGAGTGAGGGGTTCGAAAGCTTTTGTGCCTAGCCCCAAGTGGTGTACTCGACGATATTACCCCTGCTCTGAGGTATATATTACGATTCGAACATGAAAACTCACAAAATTGTTTCGAATATTCATCATGGTCCGCCATTACTACGACCCACCGTTATGACGTCACACATTACACGTATTAACTGGGGTATTAATCGCGAATATATCCCAGGTGAAATGTTGACTTTGTTTACAGTTTATAGAAGGCGTGAATACAGTCATGTTCGAATTTCTAATAATGGTCGAACATACAGGCTTTGAAGAGTTATCCAAAACGGGATTTGCGATTACCAAACCTTTGAAGGGGAGTGTATATAGGATGAATACTATAGTTATAATTTCATAAAGGAACTATAGATAAATAAGGGTTATGTACCGGGAGGTTTTGGATATAGGGTATATCCTGGGGGATATGTTTATTTATCCCATACTTGGACGTGTTACGGGTACATAAAGCCGGTTTGTAAAAACTTATATTTTCATCAGCGGGCAGATATAGCTTTACGTCCCGCTCCGAGCGGGCAGATATAGTATATCTGCCCGCTACGTCATAATCGCTGTTCCCGTATTGGTTCTTTTTTTGTAACGTTCGCATACTGTAAACGACAATGGAGAAAAACGCAGACAATCTCGACCTGTTTGATGCTTTAAAGAAGGGAAGGAGCAGTGTACCGGCGTTAATAATCAAAGATTTGAACAGGAAAAGAAACAGGAATACAAAACTGGACATGAATATTTTAAAGTGTCTCACATATTCGATCAAAATTTGCCATGCAAACATGTTAGTCTACTTTACTGGCCCTCCTTGCTGTAACAAGGAACCCAAAACACATTAAAACGTAAACATAAACCAATTAGTCACTTCACTATGAAAGTGGGGGGTGTTAGCAAATGTGTATTTAGCAGAATACGCTGTGTGCATGGACTAACACAATATCAGTGGTCATTTACTGTATCAACTTAGTAACCCTTGCATATCGTGCTCACTCAAGTATTGAATAATTTTTTTATGATCTAAATGTTTGTGGTTTATAAAAAATGTGATATATTTTAGTTAGAAATACATTAATTAATATATTCATTCAAACAGCACTAGAATGCGGGAAGAAGAGCAATGGTGACAAAATGCAGACAGAATTTTCCGTAAGGGTTTCAAACATTTCTGGACACAATCATACATGTACTTCACGTGTACTGTTATTTTTAGTGCTGTATTTATAGATATAATTTCACGTATTAAAATCATATTTTCCAGCAATGACTTCAAATCCGGAACCACACCCATATCACATTTTCTTCAATAACTCCAAACATGTGTAAACATTGACCATGTGCTATAAATTCAGATTTCACGAGCTCTTTCCTATTCGAGTATCTATACACCCCTGCATGGATTTGAGTTGGATTCGCCTTTTATACTTGAGCCGATACACATCGCAAACGCTGATTGGATAAAGATTGCGAGAATCTTTAATTATTCCACGGTTGGTTGCAAAGTTTCTGAACTTTGGCAAATTGAACAATGTGATTGGTATGGGATAAACAGATCATCCTATAGTCGGTTCAGGATATTTGGATTATCCCTTGGCCAATATAATATATCTACCCTCGGGACCTACGGCCCTCGGGCAGATATATTATATTGGCCTCGGGATAATCCCAATATCCTGAACCTCATATAGGATAATCTCTATGTCTCCCCGAGGGACCGAAGGGACAAAGGGGAGATATAAATATTTCCCGAGGGATATACCCTATATCCAAAACCGACCGTACATAACTGGTGTATCTCATACCTGAGTGGGTTTGGGGTAGATATAACCTTTACCACCTTTTCCAAATGACAAGATAGGCCTACACTGTAAAAGCATAATTTATATTTAACATTTTCATAATATTCCTTCAGTTCAATACAATAGAATTGTAACATTTAGACATTTTAAATTTCTGAAATTTAAATTTTTTAAACTTTTTTAAACTTTTGAAAAAATTCCCGGGAGCGGGATGGATATATTATATCTGCCCGCATTTGGCCTAGAGCGGGACATATACAATATATCCCGCCCGCTGCTCAGATATGATATATATTCCCGTGTGATATCTACCCCAAACCCACTCAAGTATGAAATACAAGCTAATACGTACGTATGATAAACTTGTTATAATTTTCAATTTTCAAATATTAGATAATTGCACCAGGTTATAATATTTAAAGCTAAGTGACAGTTGTCTAGGTCACTTAGAATTTCTATCAAAGGGGCAAGGATTAAAATCTAATTAAAAATTCATTAAGAACGCTTTCAACATGTAAATTCCTACCTGTATAAAAATATACATGACAAAAGCGTTTTTTTATTATGAATGCTATAAAATCAAATGTTGTCTCTTTGAACGTTATCACCTCCGCAGTTTATCAAATTAAGTTCACTAAAAACGCCGTACTTATTTATTGAGTTAAATTATATTTTAGCTTACATTTGGACATTTACAGTATGTATATAAGTTATGTTAAACTATAATTGGACTCAATAAATGATTGCGGTGTTTTTTAAAGCTTGCTTTGACGAACCCATTCATCAGCGAGTGATTTTATTATATTGATATGTTTGATATTACACAGATTGGGCAGAAACAAACATGACACAAAATACAATATAAAGGCAACATTAATATCACATTGGCGACATCTATTGAATTGTTCTTACATGAATATCATATTTCAACCTGTTTTAATAAATCCATATGAGATCACAGTGGTCCACACACGCAAACACCAGTTCTGTGTTTCAATATTGTATGTACACCCGAGACAAAAAAAACGATGAATAAAAAACCTCAAAAGGTGATTATGCATACGGTGTACCACATAGACATAATATTATGTAGTACAAATGTTTCCAATATTGTGGTACATATCATTATTCCCAAATCCTAAAGGTGTAACACAGTACTGCATCCTTCCTCGTGCATTTGTTTGATAAAAATCATCATGATATAGTATGGGAGCAAAGGTAATTCCGTGTCCTTTTTAGAGGCGAGCTAAGCGACATATTTTTTATGAACTACATGTGATACTTACCAAGAAAAATGATGTTGGCAATTCTGAATCCGCGACGGCGTTGCTATGGTAACCAAGTAAATGAGCCACGCCCACTTTTAGGGGGTCTTTTCAGTGTTTGGGCCTTATCTCCTTCATTATTGCTCAGATTTCGATGAAATAAACACCAAATGGAAGGTAATAGATAACGCATTCAAAATATATTAAGTTGGCAATTCTTAATCCGCGGCAGCGTTACTATGGTAACAAAGTAAATATGCCACACCCACTTTTAGGGGCTCTTTTCGATGTTTGGCCCATATCTTCGTCATTATTGCTCAGATTTCGATGAAATTTGCACCAAATGAAAGGTAATAGATGAAGCAATCATACAATTCATAAAATATGCAAATAGGGTGATTTGCATATTAATTATGACGTCATAACTGTTTGTTTTTGTGTATTTTATTTTAATCATGATGTATAAATCTGCGAAATTATTATTTTCAATATGGTCAGTAATGCCTTTAACTAGTTAATTAGTTTATTTCTTTTAGTTGAGTTTATTAGTTTATTACATTCATACATGTATGGTCATAAATCATCGAATAAATGTAATGAAAGTGTCCAATTCACGCTGTTGCTATGGTAACAGCAAGTAGCAAAACGATCCGCTGTAAACAAGAGAATTCTTTAGGAAATGTTACATTTTGACCATTTAAATGACATGTATTCTTTTTAAAATTTGGTGACAGAAAATAACCCAATAACTATAGAAAATTATTTAATTTGGATTGTGTTATATTATGATGTCATAAGGGCAATTGTTAATCAGGGGCGCAGCAAGCTCTCCGTCGCGGGGGGGGGGGGTGCTTCGACACAATTTTTTTAAGATTTTTAAAGTTTAATTTTACAAAAATTGATGCAACTTCCTTCAAAACTGAGCTAGAAGCCTCGAGTCAAATGCATTTTAAAACTCTTCTTCTATCTAATGGTTCTATTTTTTATTGGTTACAGGGGGGGGGGGGGGGTGTACTCATTACACCCTCTGGCTATGCCTATGTTAGCTATGGTAACCAGGTGAATATGCCGTCCCCATTTTTCAAGATTTTTCCAAAGTTTTGCTTCTATCTTTGTCATCATGATAGCTCTGGTGTATTTAGAAATTTTCATCAAATGGAAGCTAAAGTTTGCTTTCTTGCTGGGTTTCTTTACAGTGTTTGGTCCTTTCCCTTTGGTATTTGCGCTTAGATATTCATACTTATAAAGAAATGGAATGAGAATGAATCATTGTTTTCAGCTTTGACCTCATTTTATGGTGAATGTCAATGGACAAGGCACCAATTTGGAACCATTTTGAGCAATTTAACCTTATTTCAAGAAAATAATCACAAGCAGCTATGATACCATAACGAGTATGCCAGTCAGTTAATCTACATTATCCATGCATTTTCTGATTCATCTGGCATATTCACCTGGTTACCATAGCAACATCATATTGGATAAACATAATCCCCCCCTCCCATAAACAATAAGATAGAACCATTAGATAGAAGAAGAGCTTTAACCCATTAGTGTCTATGTCCCGAATATGGCACGTTTTTGAGTATATTGGAAGATGTCAGCACTGTATCATTAGTACTTTATATTTCTTACAAAAGAAGATACCAGTAGATTTCTCCAAAGTTCAAGGTCATTTTGTTTTTTGCAGACATCTTTTGAATTTTTTCACAGGAAAGGGCCCAATGTCCCTCAAATTGATATATCAGTCCATAGGCCATAGGGGGCAACTACCATGCTATTGAGGGCCACTTGCATGTTTTTGATGCCATCGGGGCCACTTAAATTTCTTTTGGGACCACAGGGGTCTACTAGGATGCATTTAGGCGCCACGGGGGTCCACTGGAATTCATTTGGGGCTTGAGGGTCACAGGGGTGCTTTAAGGGCTCACAGGGGGCCACCAGGGTGCTTTTGATGGCCATGAGGAGCCATTTGCATGCTTCTGATGGCCTCAGGGGGCCACTAGCATGGTTTTGGGGGCCACTGGGGGCTAATAGGATTCTTTCAAGGGCTACTTAAATGCTTTTAGGGGGCATAATGGGGCCCTTGGTGTCACTAGTATGCTTTTTTGGGCCACTAAAATTATTTTGGGGTCCACAGGGGCCCATTGGAGTGCTTTTAGAGGCCACCTGGGGCCACTGAGATGCTTTTTGGGGTCACAGGGGGCCAATAGGGTGCTTTTGGGGGGCTACTAGGATGCTTTTAGGGGGTATAATGGAGCCACTTGGATGCTTTTTGGGCCACTGGGTGTCACTAGTATGCTTTTTGGGGGCCACTTGGGCGGCAAATTGGAAGGTTTTTGGACCACTGGGGGGCACTAGAATGATTTTAGGGCCCATTGAAGTGCTTTTAGAGGTCACCTGGGGCCGCTGAGATGCTTTTTGGGATCACAGGGGGCCAATTGGATGATTTTGGGGGCCACTAGGATGCTTTTAGGGGGCTTAGTAGGGCCACTTGGATGCTTTTTTCGGCCACTTGGTGTCACTAGTATGCTTTTTGGGGGCCACTGGCGGGGGAAATGGGAAGATTTTTTGGCCACTGGCGGGAGAAATGGGAAGATTTTTGGGCCACTGGGGGCAACTGGAACGATTTTAGGGCCCATTGAAGTGCTTTTAGAGGCCACTGAGATGCTTTTTTGGGGCCACAAGGGTCAATAGGATGCTTTCGTGGGCCACTAGGATGCTTTAGGGGGCATAATGGGGCCACTTTGATGCTTTTTTGGGCCACTGGGTGTCACTAGTATGCTTTTTGGGGCCCACTGGGGGCAAATGGGAAGCTTTTGGAGCCTCTAGAATGAGTTTCGGGCCCCTGGAGTGCTTTTGGAGGCCACTTGGGGCCACTGAGATGCTTATCGGGGCAACGTTTTGGGACCACAGGTGGCCACTGGGTTGATGTCATGGGTCACAGAGGGGTAATAGGATACTTTTGAGGGCCTCATAGCAGCACTAATTTTTTGTTTCTGGAGGCCACTGGGGACAACTAGGATGCTTTTGAGGACCACATGGGGCCACTATGATGCTTTTTGGGGGCATCTTGGGGCTATTGGGATGCTTTTTGGGGCATCTGGGGGCCACTAGGATGATTGTGGGAGTCATAGGAGCCGCAAGTATGCTTAGGGGGGCCACAGGGGCCACTAGAATGCTTTTAGGGGCCACTTTGGGGCACTGGGATGGTTTTTCGGATCATATGGGGCCACTGCCGTGCTTTTGAATGTCACTGGGGCCTATTTAGTATTTGAATTATAACAAACAGAGAAATTAATGACCGTGTAAAATTACATGTTTGTTAAAGTTATGATATTATAAATAGGTTTTACAACCACGAAATCATTACCTCTTAACCCAAAATGTTATCATAGGCACTTGTGTCTATGTCCCGTATTTGGGATGCCTCTAGAACAAAAACTAAATTTTTCTTAGTTATGCTACCCAGGCTAGAAAAACATAAAAATTATTTAAAAAATACTAATGCATTCAATCTGTTGTCATTATTGGGTTAAAATGCTTTTGACTTGAAGCTTCTAGCTCAATTTTGAAGGAAGTTGCAGAAATTTTTGTATTCATCTTAAAACATTTTTGGGTTGCTTATGCCACGATCGCCCCCCCCCCACCCGACTGAAAGCTGGCTGCACCCCTGATTAATAATTGCCCTTATGACATAATAATATAACGCAATCCAAATTAAATAATTTTCTATAGTTATTAGATTATTTTGTCATCAAATTTTAAAAAGAATACATGTCAGTCAAATAGTCAAAATGTAACATTTGCTAAAGAATTCTTGTTTACAGCGGACAGTTTTGCTACATGATGTTACCATAGCAACAGTGTGAATTGAACATTTTTTATTTGCATTAGACATCTTTCATTACATTTATTCAATTTTTCTATGACCATAAATGTATGAATGTAATAAACTTATAAACTCAACTAAAAGAAATAAACTAGTTGAAAGCATTACTAACCATTTTAAAGACAGTAATTTCACAGAGTTATACATCATGATTAAGATAAAATATGCAAGAACAAACAGTTATGACATCATAATTAAGATACAAATCACCCTAATTGCATATTTTGTAAAATATATGATTGCTTTATCTATTACCTTTCATTTTGTGCAAATTTCATCTAAATCTGAGCAATAATGACAAAGATATGGGCCAAACACTGAAAAGAGCCCCTAAAAGTGGGTGTGGCTTATTCACTTGGTTACCATAGCAACGCCGTCGCGGATCCAGAATTGCCAACATCATTTTTCTTGGTAAGTATCACGTATAGTTCCTAAAAATGTATGTCGCTTAGCTCGCCTCTAAAAAGGACACGGAACCTCTTATTTGGACTTTTGCTCCCAGACTAATATATAATATTCAAAAACATCTTATACTTAATAGACTGTAACATCAGTTAATGCTGATATAAATGCTAATTGTAAATTGTAAAAGGCAACATGCTTAAAACAGTCATAGGACCATATCTTGTTAAGTTAGCACAGGGACGTTGTCAGGATCAAGGACAATGTTGGGCAAATAAATAGGCAAAAAATGAGCCATATTAAATATTATTTATGTGTACAGTACATAAACTTGACGACATGTACAGCGAGGCACCCGCTACCATATAGTGCTTAGTTTAGTTTCGTTTTGATTCATCTGATTTATCCGACTCATAATGAGTCATGATGGTGCTTGTTTATTTGCTTATTTACTTTCCTTTTAGCGTTATTCAAAAAGTACTCAGAGGACATTCATCAATGTAAATTATACATTTTAATCAATGTTGTAAATCAAATCAAAAAATCTCATTCCGACCTCGAGTTATAATTACAAAAAAACCTAAACCATTGCAAAAAAACTAAATCATTAAAGTGCAAAAACTATTACCTCGCCCAGTAATAATTTTACCTGAAATGAATAAAAAACGTTTTAGAGTGAATTAATGCACGTGCAAACTATTCATTCAGAAGCGTATATTAGTTTCGTTTTAAGTATTCTTATGTCATGTGGACATCGGGATTATTTATACAAGTTCTCATTTCAAAAGTTGAGGCAAAATGTATACAACACATAAACAATTCTGGACTTTGGTTATCTTAATGTACTTGACTACAGGTGAGATTTATTAATATTCTTTACAATGATTAAGTAGATGTATTTAGGAAAAAATATATATAAAGTATCGTTTCGCTTAACAAGAGAAGAGGAGTTAATATCCAAGATGTCTATTTTATTGTGATTAAAGAGCCGCACTTGATGGTTTAGTGAACATTTGCCTTCTTGAATAATTTACTGGTTACAACAATCATTTTGTATTTGTATATTATATTATATCATATTATTATATTATATTATATTATATTATATCATATTATATTATATTGTATTATAAATATTATATGAATAGCATAGAATAGCTATGAATAGCATGATGTATAGATTTTTTCTTTTTCTATATCATGAGCATTTTATTTAGAGTGATACACCATCAAATTCACATTGTTTAAATTTCCGTCTTTATAGTTAGCCCATCAGTTGTTGTCAGAGAAATCCCTTCAGACAAAGCTGCAAAGGTAGGCGATCTTGAAACTGTCCTTAAGTGCACAGTTTCTACAATGGGCCCACATCTTGTCACCTGGACTCGCGATGGTCTTCCTTTATCTTCAAATAAAAAGGTTGCTGAAGAGCGAACGGATAAGTACTCAATTAGAGACAGTTATGATCTCGTTGTGAAGAATGTTAAACTTAATGATGCTGGCCGATATGCCTGTAACCAAAATTTACCTGATACTAAATACATTGGTATTGCAGAATTAAATGTGTATGGTAAGTTTCCATGGTATTACGTCATTTTCAAGGTAATTAAACACCGTGATTTTCTCATCATTGTATTTACATGAATTGTTTAAATCACGTTGGCATTTTTTCTTGTTAAGATCACCCGACATGAAATCAGGAGGATTTGGGTTCGGGTCTCACCGAGATGGGTGACTTTTATTTCAAATCAGCTCTTGACATGGGATTTGATCCAACGTTTCAGATTAAATAAAGACAGCTAATGTCAAAAGTAGGCACACTTTAATTATGTAAGACGAAACACTTAGCGTAAATTATACCATTTATATTCTATTGTAAATTATATTGTAGATGAGATTGTATGCCTTGATAACGTAATTCACAAGAAAGAAAATGATACCATTTTCCTGACTTGTTCTACTAATTTTGCTGGTGGTGACAAATACACACCTGAGTTTGCCTGGGAAATAAATGAAAAGCCAATAGCGTCCGTTACTCAAGTTGAAAGTCAAATAGGAGTTACAAAAAATGTCTCATCAGGTAGGAACGATTCATTACAACCTGCACATAGTATTTTATTGGCGATAGATAAGATTTATATAAAAAGGGCAATTATTAAATAAAGTGGCAATTCAGCACGAATAAAGTGTTTTGTTTAAAGGAATCCTAAGCAGTTTTTACTTATAAAAATATATTATATAAAATCGGATTCGATTGTTATCGAATCAATGTGTTCAATGTTATCTAATTGATATTAATTAGATATATAACTTGTAGTCTCTATATTTCGCGAAGTATAAGTTTAAAGCTGGAAATAATGATTGCATGCATACGTTTCGTTTGGTATGTTTAGCATTTCTTAAGTCCAAAATATTTTGTTTTACAATTTAATATATTACACCTTATTTCGCAGAATACAGTCCCTTTAAATCTAGAATAAATAGAACCTCAGGCAAAATAAAGAGGAACTTTTTTTAGCGGGGGGCAGATTTGGTACTCGACATGTAAATACATTTCAGCGTGACTTTTTAAACCGCATCTTTGTCAATATATTCGATAGAATGTACCCTGGTATAAGCTAAAATTTCTATCTTGAAGGTACATCTTTAGTCGCCATGTCTGATATGAACGGGAGTATACTTACATGCAAGTATGAGATAGTTACGGAGTCTGGTGACGTTATGATGAAAGACCAATGTCGCTATAGTATCGCCGTACAATGTAAGTTGAGATTTATCCATTTTTTGTAGTTTGGTGAGGTCATTTTATGATGTCACCAATTTGATAGATGTGCAATCATAGCTAAGTAATTTAAAGTATTCACGATTTATTGATGTTACTCGCACATTGTGTGAAGTGTTGTAATACACACCTACTACTAGTATATAGTTCTAACGTAGTGATGTAGCCCCGTCCCTCTGGCTGTATAAATTCGTTCCGTGTGGAATATGACATATATTTGAATCGTGTTTTCCACATCAAACAAACACAGCCCCGATCATCGAGAATAATAATTAGTACGAAAGGACAATGCCATCTTGCTATTTGTCTTATCCCGAATGATAAGGGACGAGGTGTATGAATCAAAGCAGTCGGAAATTAATCTTCTCATCTCCCGAAATACATGATTTACCTTTCATTTTGCAACTATGTTATTTTAGCTGTCATTTACACTGTCTTATATAACTAATAGACTGATTTTCAGATGAGGCCAGAAAGCCATCTATACTGATCGATTCTGATGACGTCACTGATCTCGAGATCTCGCATGATTTAAATAAACACTTGACTTTAACATGCTCTTCAAATGGCAACCCTGCCCCAAAGTAAGGAGTATTTCATAGTTTTCATTTTGTAGAGTCTCTTAAGGAAAGCGTATCTTAAATTGACAACCTATGGAGCAACGTCTAGACGCATTACTAATATAACGTCATCCATTTAAGACACACAGATTAGGATCGTTTTTAATTGAAAAAAAATTATAATAGCATTACAACATGACGGGGAATTTGAGTGATCCGACTTTTTTTAGTACAATGACGGTCTTTTGAGGTGATGGGATTGCAAGAATGATAATTTGTCTCAAATCACGGGCAATTAAAGAACAAGCCCATTCTCATATGCAGGAGTGATTTGATATTAAGATCAATGCCTTTACTGTCATATAATCAACAAAAAGTACATATACGATGTCCATGTTTTGTCTCTTGGTTCTTTGATATCATATCAAATTATATAAAATCCAGTATGCAACCTTGGCAACTATATGGAATACGACCAAATACCTTGATCAATATATTTCCAGTTACACCTGGACCTACAAACCACTGCCTCGTAATGGAAATCAAGAGATCGAACGAGTGGAAAAAGCATCAGATTCAGGTAAATCCGAATTCATATGACATCACACATCCGCATAGTACTTGATCAACGCAACAAGACGACAGTACGTCAAAACAATGCATGAATACACACCTGGATTTATATATTTATGAAATTGTAGTGTTCTAGGTACACGCGCTCTATGATAGTCAAAATTAAGAGGAACAAAACCAAACAGGTTTGTAATTGGTTAATCTAATTTAATGACGTAACAAACACTAATCGCTGACTACGGTAGTTTCCTGAACATGTATATGATGTACCGATAAATCTGCCCCTGTTTATGAACATTTATAATTGGTCGTTATTTTAAATAGACTGCCACTACAAGAATGTTTTTCAGTTAAAGTATATGTAGCATCTTACAAACATTTTCTGTCCTTCAAGGTGTGTTAGTCTTAGGAAACGTAACAAGGAATAACTCGGGGATTTATACATGTGAGGCATTCAACATCCACAACAGGGGCATTGTGAGGTCTGAAGTTACACTAATGATACGCGATCCATGTGAGTAAGATTTTAAAAGCAAGATATCTTTAAGATAAAAGTGAGAACATATAGTAAAATGTCAAATGTAATTCGATGAATTATAATTGTCATGATAAATTGTAAATGTATTTCAAGTTTTAACATTATTGTGATTGCGTGCAGTCATTTATCAACTTACTTACCCTCCCACCCACCAAATGGATCTCACCTAATCATTACCTAAAGAAAGCTCAACCATTAACAAACATAAACCCACCTTATTATCACTTACCAAAACTCACACACTCACTGCCAACACAAACTCACTCTCATACCAAGTCAGTCACTCACCCACCAACCCACCAATCCAGCCATTCACTCACTCACATACTCACTAACTAAAACTAAATTTCAGTTAAACCTGCTTCGAAATAAAACGATTGTGCCATTTCATCAAAAGTCGTGACCATTTAAAAAGAGAATGAACCGTTTAGTCCCTTTTTGTAAACCCAAAAATGTAAAAACAGCAGTGCATTTCAAGTATTTCAACCGTCAATGTTTTATTATCATATTAGATTTACAATATTTATACAAAGTATATGAATATTTCATCAAACAAGATAAAGGTAAAATCATTTTATCAATACATATTCATGTTAATGTCTAGTAAAATTGTGTTTCTTCTTATCGTATAGAATTTTCTATGTAACTTCAAACTATATTTTCAAATACACTATCCTCAGATAGAAATTTCTATACAAAAGACTCCGTTGACTTTTCGTATAGAAATTTCTATGCGGATGGGGCTGGAAATATTAATTTTGTTATTGATGAACATTTGGTAATCGGTATAGAAATTTCTCTACCGATTAAGCAGAGGATTTAAAACTGAATACCTCTATAGAAATTTCTATGTGAAGGCCGTCGGAAAATACTAATTCTGTTACCAGAAAAACATTTCTCCCCGTATAGAAATTTCTATGCCTTTCTAATTAAAACAAGTGTTCGTATAGAAACTTCTATGCAGGTGTAAATATAAATTTTGGTTGCCGGTATAGAAATTTATATAGGGAAAAGATCGATAAATAAAAATGCTGTATAGAAATTTCTATGCGGCGCAGAAAAATAATTTTGCTTGATGGCCAGTATAGAAAGTTCTATATGGTCAAAAAATGCATGTATAGATATAAAAATCCTGTATAGAAATTTCTATGCGGGTGTAGTACATTTTAATTCACTTATTCATTTAAATATATGATAAAATGTGGTATCAACCACACATGCACAAAAACGTATGCAACATGTTTACTTCATAATTTTCCTCACAATGTTTTTTGTTCACGGTGACGGCTCCTGGTGAACAATATGGACGTTGGAATGTGTGCTCTTTTCGGCTATGCCAGAGTAACTGTCTATCAGTAATCTTTAATATTCATTATGAACCGCAATTACTACGTCCCGCCGTTATGACGTCACACATTGCACGTATTACCAGGGATTTTGTTCGCGAATATACCCCGGGTGAAATGTTGACTTTGTTTACAGTTTATAGAAGGCGTGAATACAGTCATGTTCGAATGAATTATATAACCACGCACCCTCTGCATATATCTTTACATAATTGATGGCAGCTTCTTGTTAGAAAGAGATCTGAGTTTTAAATGACTCTGCCTGTTTACAGCACACAATAGGTATCAGGTATGAAGTACAAGACTTGTAGGATAAATCCAGTGGTTACTCGAGTCTCTTGCCAATTCTTGGAATGTCATGGAATAGGGCAACACAATAGTTCACTTAATTATTCACACAGATAAATATTGTCGGCCCTGTTTACCTGTCTATATTACGCAACGGTTGGTCTACTCAAGTGGCGAATGAGGCTGCAATGACTCCATCTCTTTTTATCTCTTTTCTGCCTGGAAGCAAAGTCAATTCTTCTCTAGTAGAATTACATAGCTAAAAGCCTTAAGGTAGGCAATAAGGTCAGTTTCATCATTCAGACATTATTAAAAGGTGGACAAAGCGAATGGCATTCTCTAAATCAAAAATCATTCGATTGGGGTAGGAAAAGCGAATAAGTTTCTTTCAATCGAGCATCATTTGATACCAAGATGGTTCCATTAGCCCATCCATAAAGTATCAAGCTTGGTCTTAAAAATTCTTTAAATACATGATTGATGTTAATACTTTTGTATTTGTTTGAACCATGGGCTTTCAACTAATTGAAAGCCCATGTTTGAACATAACTCACTGCTTGCGTATGCGACACATTAATTTTGCTTTTTTATCAAAAGATAAATTCTCAATAAAATGATATAGGGCTTAGTTTTTGTATTTTGTATTTTGATGAAAGTCCTAAAATGTGGTCTCGTACTCTCATACTTGGTTATACCATATAGAGTAGGTAGTATTCGATACGGTATTTAGTTCTGGAGATGATACCAAGCGTTCAAAACATGTGTGGTCATATGAAAGATATGCATCTAATATGAATGAATTTTCCCTTCTTGATAAATGTTGAAGGAGTTCTGAATCAACCACAACATTCATTTATTAAATCATATATTGCATTTGAGGTTCATCCTACAATGAAATTATTTTGTTGAAATTATTTTGATTCTTTTATTTCCTTTTTCTTTTCACCATAATTTGCTTATCAATGTTAAATGTATTTGTAAGGGCTGACTCTTAAGACAAATCTATAAATAAGTATATTGCATGTGATGACACCATTGAACTTGTTAATCATACAATCTACATACTGTGTAATATTTGGAAAATTACCACACTTGAGGATTGATTTAACACAATAAATTTATAATTTCTGAATTGAAGTATTCATTTTAATCATGGAAAACTTTCTCCATGAGAAAGCTTTATATTTATCTACTATGAAAACTGTACATACAAAATATTAACAAAACATGACAAATTAGATGATATACTTTAAAATGACAATTTCACTAATCTACCATTCTATTTTACTATTATCTTACTGGTTTCATTTTTTCTAATAGTGTCAATCTTTAGTTTCATCCTTTTGTGTCAAAAAACATATTTGAATTCAAAATCGTTTCTGCTCATAGGCAATTCAAGGGTCAACATCATTCGCAAAGCCGTCGCTGATTGTAATGTTGTATTTTTAAATGTATGTGTCTCTTTTTCTGAACCACTTTCCTGCGTTTGTGAGTTCATTTCTCTTTCGTTCCCCAAACAATTGTCATAATTTTCCAACATAAAATAGATCAGTATACATGTATATATATGCTTGCAATCGATGGGATTTATATTATCACTGCTTATTTAATGTGTTTGACAACTGACAACAAAATCATTCAAAATTAGTTGAGAATGTTTCGAACAAAAAGTCCCTTCAGAAGAAGTTTTCCATATCAAATATTGATATCATTGTGTACGACTACAACAAGTGGCTTTATCTGGGTCTTTAAAATCCTATTAACATATGGAGTGGGATTACAAGATATAGCATTTCAAACTGTGAAATTAACACCACCTCGTGACTGTCTCAGATGTATCAATGCAAATTGCTTATGTTATCCGCTTGTACTTATGACATATCACATCAGGTTCAAATTCAAAATTTGGTGTACGAGGATTGATCCAAAAGGTCTCCACCGTTTGCTCTAAAATCTTTATCTTTGACGAATAATATACATATTTTGCCTTAATCGCCCCCTGCATTGTAGCTTCATTTTGTGTATAGATAAACCATGAATTCAAAATTCAACATATGCATCTAGTTACCATAGCAATACAACAACAGGGTATATGGAGCTTGAATGAATTAAACCGTATTGGTAATTTCAGCAACTGAAGCGCTATTTCATTTTCAGAAAACTATGTTACTGATCAAATGTATTGCTTATTTTACGCAGAATGAAACTACTACTTATGGGGTGGATGAGATAAGATATGAAAAATACTCTTAAAGTATTAAGATTTTTAGAGCAAAGATGCAAAACTTTTGGATCGACCCTTGTAAGCTATATTTTCTGAAGAAGCAACTTTAGGCATATGTGAAGGAGATACACGCGTGAACGGTTTTATAATTATTCAATTCCACTGAGGTACCCATTCATCTTTAAATTATTATTAGGAGGCCCTTCAAGGGGCCTCCTATCATTTTTGTAGTTATTCTTCTTTATTTATTTATTTATTTATTATTCTTTTTAGCATTTTTTCTCCAACTTCTAGCTAGCTTTGACTTATCTCATATATAATCTTATTAGGGACCTGGGCTGGACTTGTCGGGAAATTAGTTCATATCTAGGTCAAGGTCAAAGGTCAAAATCTAGGTCAAATCTAAGTTTTTTTCAAGTTTCTCAAATCCTGACACTACACTTCAATATTTTTGGCTGAATTTTTGCATACAGATAGATATTAGTATTCTATTAGTCTAAGCCTTTTGCCGTCTAGAGAAATTTTGCCTAGATTTTGAGATATTGAAGGTCAAAAAAGGTCAAAAAAGGTCTTTTTTCAACTTGCTTCAAATTGACCCAATTTTTTTTTGAAACTCATCTACAAGTTCTCAGGATTCCAAATCTGACCTTACTTTTGACCTTTGACCTTTGGTTGACCTTCAGTGACCTCCGAAAGGTCAAAAAAGTTGATTTTTCAAATCGATTTTCTGGATTCAAGTTTAGGTATATTTATTCACAAAAGACCTTCTGAGGTCTAAAAAAGTAAAATTTGCAAGGTCAAAGGTCGAGGTCATCAAACGAAATCACAAACTGTGTTTTCTAAGTTTCTCAAAATTGGTGACTACAAATCAATATTTTTTGATGAAAGTCTGAATATATATTCCTCTAAAGGTTCTACACATATTAGCAATTGACTATTTATTAAAATTTTGCTCCAGTTTTGAGATATTAGAACTCGAAAACTGAAAAAAGGTCAAATTTCGAAATTTTTCAAGGTCAAATTTCAACTTGCTCTTAATTGACCAAACTTTTTTTTAAAAAGCATCTACAAGATCTCAGGAACTCAAATCTGACCTGAGTTTTGACCTATGACCTTAAGTTGACCT